GAAAAAAGGGGGTTCAGCCGCAGCAGGAGGGGTACAACTCAACATTTCAGATTCGGCTACTGCCGCAGCAGGAGAAATACAACTCAACGAACTATGACGTCAGAGGTTTTTCTGAGAGTGTGAGATCCCTACTGTAGATAAGGTTTTATCTAGAGGGTTGTTTTTATCTCTTCTGTAGAAAGTGAAGGAATTATTTTCATTTTCGGGACTTAGAAATTTTTCGTACCCAAGTGTATTTTATTAAGTTTTCAATATTTAAATTAATATACCAATTATTATTTTCTCATTTAAGCATTATATTTTATTCTATTCCTAATATTTAAATTAATATTTTAAATAAATAATTTTTCTTTATAATGCTTACGATTTACTTTGATTACTAAAATGGAGTGACATTTTTATTAATTACAAATTATATGTTTACCAGTTTTAATCTAAGATTTTTGTTCTTGTCCAATACTCGTGGTCCCATCTAGTGAGTAAAATAAATACTAATTTTATAAAACACATAGGAAAAAAAGTTTTGTACGAGAAATACTCATGCTGCCATCTATTGGAGGAAGTTTCAACACTGTTTCTACGTAACTTTAACAGAATCACTTCTGAAGTAATATATAAATAAAGTGTTTAAACTTAGGATTCGAACCAACAATCTCATATTAACAAAATGTTTTCATGGTACAACGGTTTCAACCGACGCGCTAACCGTTGTGCCATGAACACATACGCATACAACGAGAATATAAGATTTTATAAAAGTGTGAAGGAAATGTTTTCACTCACCCTTTGTAATAGAATATTTTTTTAAGTTTAATTTTCAATTTATTTTAAAATCAAAATGAAAAGGAAGTTAAATTATAAGTTCATCAAAACTATATTTGAAAAGCGTACACTATTAATTTATTTTTACAAGTCGCGTAAAATGAAATATTCGCGTTGAGACTAAGGAGAAAATCTCAAACATCTTTCATTCTATGTAACTTACACAAAAAATATGTTACACTAATATTCAGGGGAGGGCGAGCTTTCAAACATAGGATTCAAACCATCAATTTCTCAACTATAAAAAATTTTGAATAACACAACGTTCTCGATGAGATGCAAACTGTTGAACTAAAAAGAAATATTCATTTTACACGAATAAAAAGTTGTTGTTGTTTTTTTTTCTATGTCACTGTAGAAAGATTTTCTAACATAATCTCCATGAAAAAAGTATAATAAATTTTAAATTTTACTGCGATACATTTTCAAATTTAATTTATGTATATTATTATGATCTCTTTAGATTAAATATGAAAATCGTTTAAAATTGAAATTAACAAAACTATGATTCAGAGGAAAGATATAAAATAATATTGACAAATACACAAAATAAGATAAAAAAAACAATCTTTATTCAATAAATTTTTAAGAAGATGAACAATATATAATACAAAATTTCCCGCTACACAATAATGTTCTACTTCATTGGAAATTTAAATAGGAACGTATGGAACAATTAACATTCAAATATCGTGAAGATATGCAAATTGTTTTACAATCAATGTGAAAAACTCTCCTTAACATAAATGACGAGAGTGAAAAATTAGAGTACATTTTCATAGTGAGATACATGTAATGACATAAAAGTTAATTGTGCCTTTGGGATTTTTTTCTCTTTCATTTTGAATAAATCAAAACACAATTTTATGTGCAAAAATGAATAAAATTAATTCAATAAATTAATTCAATAAATATATAAATAAAATTAAAAGAGTTAACGTGAATAAAATGTATATCTAAATTAAACATTGTTAATTCTAAAGTGACCGTGTGCAAATGTGTCACATCCATTTTCTAAAATGTAACGCTTATCATCTAGAGGACAAAGGGCTAATTTGTTTGTTGTAACAGAATACAGTTGATGATTTTTTGAGATGATAGTTTTCATTTTCTCTCTAACTCTGGAATTTTCGAAAAGACATTTGATATAACTACTGTGTTTCAGTTTTTTGTTTCGTACGCTCTTCACCACTCCCTTTGCTGCTTTTTTTTCCCCATCTTCACTCAATATAGAGTATAATTTAGAGCGCAGTCCTACAAATTCAACCACTACTACCCCATTTAATTCATCTTTCATTTTCCCGAGAACTTTTTTGTTGACTTCGCTGTGTAAAAAATGATGCTTCGGATAATCAGATGTGTCATAGAGATCGATATTTTCTCTCATGTCGTGGTAAATATCTTCTGTTTCAATGTGATAGCACAACGAATCAGTGTCCGTGAATAATAATTTTGCCTTCTCACCATACTTATTTCTTATATGGTTATAATGAAATTCGTACATAAATATCTTGCTGATATCTAAGACGGTAAATCCCGTGTATACGGGACGGTTTAAAACTAAAGATGTTACATGACGTGAAATAATTACAAGGTTATCATCTATGATATTAAAACTGTTGAAGGAGGGGGAAGCTATTAATTTTAACGCTTTTTTCTTATCTACTACAATGTCGATATTTTCCCGTTGACGCAAATTTTCTAATGTTTTCCCAAACATACTGTTATTCATAAGCTTATAGAAATCTTTATCGAAAGAATTCGTTGCCTTTTTTCGCATCTCTGTGTTGAAATTTATAAATGGCTGTAGCCAAGCTTCTTGCTTAAAAAGTAAAATTTTGTATATTTTTTTCATTTTCAACCCTAATTTTAAATATAATTTTAAGTTTCTATAATGAAGCACATATCTATTTTTATCGCGTAAATTAGGTATTAGTTTCGAAACGTTGGAGGGGTCACTCACACTTAATTCTGATGCTACTCTTTGTGAATAGGGGGAAAGCATGTCTGAAGAAACTTTTAATTGTTCAGGGGCTACAGGTAAATCGCTATGTAAATCATGAATTTCAGTGGGATACTCCAAGTCCACTTCGATAATCATTCCCTCTTCCTGTTCATCCGACATATTCAATATGTCATCTGCACTTAATTCTAAATTTTCACTCCATCGAAAGTCTTTCGTGGGTAGATGACTCATCATCGCAGTACCATAGAGGTTATTTTTATCTAAATATATAATGTAGGAAGAGGGAACGTTAGCGTCGTAACCACCAGTCATGTATTTGTTGTTTGCGCGGGCATATCTATTAGATATCATTGACACACCTCCCCGCACTCCTTTCTCAATAAACAAATGCATTGTAGGATCAGTTAAAAGATGTAATTGCACCTTCGTCATTTTTAAGCATGCATTCCATGCTAAACCGGGGGCGGTGAATACATGCGCAGGATCAATTTCATAATGCGATAGGCATAAACTTCTGAATTTTTCAAAGACATCTGCGAGAAGGAGTGTGTCGGTTTTGACATATAAGTTGTGATAATCTTTTAATGTTTCCATGTTAAAATTTTGAAAAACAGTACGTGCGTGACTATAATCCGATTCGCTCACATCTTCTTCATTTAAACTATTGTAAAAACATTCACGTGGAGGTAATTCGATTTCGTTAAATTTACTCATTGAATTAAAATATTCGTAAGGGTAAACACCCTTGCGTTTTAAAAGAGGGAGTTGATCGGGAGAAAATTGCGAAGATAATACATGGAATTCATCTTCTCCTAAATTCGAGACGAGCTTATCAAGGGAGGCGGGTATGAATTGAAAAGAGTCTAAAAATTGTAAGTGTCCGATCGAGAAAGTAATAAACTGTTCTGCATTAGTACCAATGCACGATATTCGTTTATTCCCGATTTTGCTCATCGTTTTTATTATATGATGACTATCATAGCCTTTTAAATTATGAAACACTACGGGTATCTTTTTTGTCAACTTAAAGTTCAAATTACAGCTCGAATGTAAAGCACCGCGATACTTAGATGTTAAATGGCAATGATCTCTTACTCTATCATTTCCTAATACTTCATTACAAACATAGCAATGCGTTGCATTCGAAAAGGCTTCTTCTTCCTCTCTAGTTAATTGCATAGGTTTTTGAACCCTAAGTAAATCTAAAATAAGTTTTTCCTCCCCTAACAAGCTGTGTATGAAATGTTCCGCCGCGTTTTCCCCATGATAAACAACTGGTGGTTTCAAACACTTCCCTTCGTAATCAATGATAACATATGAATATCCGCACGGAATGTGCTGTGCATTAATTTGCGTATTAGACCCTAAATTTGTTGACTTTTGTTCCAAAATGCACTCAAAATCAGCATAAATAATGTACGGAATTTTATGTTGCATATGAAAAGAACTAAATTTTAAAATGCGGTCATTCTCGCTCGGCATCGTTATTTTTTGTATCTTATGCTCCTTACAATATGTTACATGATCATCACGGTTATTTCTAGTATAAAACCGATGAAGGCAAAAATTACAATAAAATGTGGCCGCTCTATGTTCAGTTAGATGTGAAAGTAATCTACTCATATCACAAATGAGGCAAAAATGTTGCTTTTCACCTTTAGATATCAGCAAGAGATTTACATGGTGAACACCGGCTCGGTTAGATGAAAGATGTAATGGGAAAATATCTTTATTTTCACAACCGAAGACATTAATTGAGAGATTATTAATCTTTTCAAACTTAGAAATTTGATTCAATTTCATGGGAAATGTTATCCCGCTTAAAGCTAACTCATTTTCAAATTCGCGATACTTGTTTACTCGATTAGCACTTTTACGGTCACTACAAGGGTGAAGAGCGGCTAGCACTGACCAGAGAAAACATTTGTTGTCACTGTTACGTATGTTTAAAACAGCTTTTTTTTTTACTATTTCAGGGGGAAGTGGGATAAACGAAGAACCATTTAAAGGGATGTATTTCGCTGTATTTAGCTCAAGGTAATTTACCTCATCCAGAGTCCACCCACTGCCCCTGTTCACGAATTCGTCAAAAGATAGAATAATTTTCCCAAAGGCACAATTAATTTGCTCTTCTAAATTGTTAAAATTTAAAGATATTGCGTTGCAACTGCGAAAAAAAGAGGTGGCTATTTCTCGCTCACCGTCCTGGGCGGTTCTTGAAAAAAGAGCTTTGACACAAATATACCACTTCGTACCCGATGCATCAATGTCAGCTTGAAGAATGTGTGATAGGTTGTCTTTTAAGTCATTTAAGAAAAGTAATAAATCGTTTTTCTTACTACTGTAGAGGGTGCGACTCCTGAACGCTCCATCCAATGCACTCCTGTGCAGCTGGGTACTTTCTTCTACTTCCCTCTGTTTAGCCGTAGAAGTCTGCGAAAGAGATAAGAATAGAATATAAGTGAAACTATTGGGAATTAGAGAACTGTTACAAAACACCTTTACTCCTTAATGTAATTTATAGTTTTATTTGCTACTTTATTCAAATGTTATTTGTATATTCCTCTGAATCAATTAGCTTAAAGATCAAACGCTTAAGAAACAGATATCCATTCGTTAATTATTTTATTTAAATTAAATGCAATTCTTTTAAAGAAAAAAAAAATAAGACTTCAAGAAACATTAAAAAAGGGATTGAAATGATTTTTTCGCTTCTTCTAACATTAATAAAATTAGCCATATTAATTTACTCATTACAAAACAATAACCTTCTGTTATTTTAATAAAGAAGTAAACATTCTTAAATCACATTATTATATTTAAATATAATCCCTTTTAAAAGAAATGTAATAATATAGTTTTAACTATAAGAGTGTAAGAATTAACTTACTCACGCTAGGAGAAAACAAAGTCTCTTCATTTAGGATGTCAGACGAAACATTTTTAATAACCTCATCTGCATACGAGTCATCCATGCAATCATCGTCATCAGAGGAGGAGGAAACAATTCTCTGCACCCTTCTTGCTCGTTTCTTTCCATTCTTTACGGAATCGTCACTAGTAGAGAAACGTCTCTTCCGTCCACTAGATTGTGTTGTAGAGCTAGGAAACTCTCTGCTGAGTCGAACTAACACCTCCTAAAGTAATAATAATAAATTGTATTAGAATATAATACATAAGATCGTAAAAAAAAAAAAGAAAAAAAAATGTATGTAAAGAAAATTTACATCATTTTACGATTATTTTTTTAAAAAATGTAAACCTATTATATTTTTAAAAAATAAGAAAATAAAGATAACTAATTAGTAAATTAAAATTTAACCTGCTAAATATAAAAAATATTTTCGTCAACATTAATTATGTATAATGCTTTAAAAAAGTGGTCAAATAAAAAATAAATAAAATGAAATTCAAATGAAGGATACTTACTTCTGAGACATCTCTTATTGCCTGATCAGCCTCGGCATCGTCCATAGTCCATTGTTTATCCATAGTTGACCCGCACGCGGCTGGATGGAATGATGAGAACTGACAACGATGTACGAAAAAGTACCCTTTTTATATTGGTGAATAATCGGTGATAGAAAACTAAACAACAACAGAAAAAGAAAATAGTTTCTACGAATTGCAAACAGCACTTTTCTTTACATAACTATCTTCGTCGAGATTTATCTTTAAAAAATTAAAAGCATTCTTAAAAAGATAAAAGCGGGGATGTTTTCATGAAAATAAGAGTGAATACTTGTTTTATGATTCGATAATTCTTCCAGACGAGACAATTTATCGATAAATGAAAACATTTTCTATCGGAAATCGCTTACAGATTATATAACTATGTAAGGTAATGGGAAAATGTTTTAACTCTCACTCCCCTTTCACGGTAATTTCTTATCCCCTCGTAAATACGGCGTTTCAATTCACTCTTTGTCCGCTACCTGTATTATTGCTTACGTTCATTGTCTGAAAAGCTGCGACGACGCTTATTTTTCTCTGGCCATTGTATTTTAAATCTAATGTATCATTGCAAATGGAAAAAGAGATGTTATCCGAAATTGAGATTCCATCACTTAAACATAAGTCTACCGCATTATGTTTGTTTAAAATATTGAAAGTAAAAAGTATTACGTTTATCGCAATAAAACAGCAGAGAGAGATGACTCGACTGTCGAATGGCATAATGGATTCTGCATTAGTGGAGAATGTGTAAGCGATAGTTAAAGGAATGCGATTATCTATCGTATGACGTTGTAACTCGTATTAATTCTCGCAGGATTATAATCACGCCGATTAGACGTGACTATTGCGCGAGCCGGTGCGCGAGAGAGAGACCGCCCGCCCGCCCGTCCGCCCGCCGCCGCCGCCGCTGCCGCCCCGCGCTCGCCCGTCGCGCGAAAATAACGGGTTCTATAAATTAAAATTTGAATATAATCGAAAAAAAAAAAAAAAGAACGCGTAAAATAAAGAAAAAAGTGTGTTTCTTTCAATCATTTTTTATTAATACTTTTTATTGTTTTACATATATTCTGTAACTACATTTGCAACCACTGATATGGTTTTTTCTTTTGAATTTTCTTTAATTTGGGGGCGAGAGAAGAACCTTTTTGCAAAATATAAGACTCATTCTTTATAAAAGTGCGAGGTAAATTAATGTCCTTGATTATTTCGCGAAACTCTTCTTGTCCTGTTATGAAAGTGTTATTCTTCTTTTTTCTCATCATGTTGTTCAATAAATCTACGATATTAGAATTTTTCACGACTTCGCCTTTGTGAACGAGCTCTCCCCGAGGTGTCCAAGATACGACATCGTTGTTTTTCTTTAAAAATTCGAGAACGTTCTTCGTGTTTGAAGTAAACTGCTTTGGCATTGAAGATAGCATTAAACTTTCTATATAATTTTCTTCCTCCTTTATTTCCGGTTTCTCGTCCGGCACTTCATCTGATTGGATTTCTTTATTTGATATGGGAGAATTTAATGAATCTAATTTAATTCTCTTTAACAATACTTGATTATACATTTTTATTTTCTCATCTTCATCCATTTGTGAAAGTAATATTTGCTTCATCTCACGATCTAATTCGCTGAGTTTTTCATCCGGTAGAACATGGCGGGAAACTAGATGTTCGGGTACTAAAATCATCTTCTTAGCATATTCCATTTTTATTCTTAAACTTATTTAGTCAAGTAATTGCTAAGAATACTTATAGCTATAGGTAAGAGACCGTAAAGAAACCCTCCTTTTTGAATGATAAGCTTGCGTTTCTTTTTGAAAGATACTTTTTTGTCGGAGAGTTTTCTCAGTGTATGTTTATGTCGAGCTAACTTTCTTTTCTGATGCGCTGTGATTGGTATATTTCCTTTTAAAGTGTTTAAGCAACACTCGGAGATGCATTTGATTGTTGATTTAGGAAGTTTTTTTAATAACACTTTTAACGATTTTTTTGGACAAATTAATATTAGTCTCAGTCTTTGTACATCCTCCTTTGTAGCAACCATGATGGGGAATGATCACACTCTTTTAAAGACATCACATTTATTTCATTTGATACACGCACATTTCTTCACCTGGTAATATTTTTGTTCGCAAGCGTAAGTTTTCATCCGTTTCAGATCTTAAATCCACCATTAAGTAAGTGAAGGGTTTTTTAGTCGCATCTTCAAAGACTTCGAGAAAAAATTTCAAGTTCCTAGGGTATAACTGTCTCCCTAAATGAGATATCTGACTCACATCTCGTCTAGATTTAAATAGAAACAAATAATGAGAATTTAAGGATATTTCTCTAAATTCTTTTCCTTTATGAAATATGTTCTGACTGACTGTGATAATTGATATATTCATGTGATGCGATCCTCGGGTGTACAAATCAGTGATTCTTTTGTTATTTCCACATTCAGACATTAAATCGTCTAAAATAAATAAAGTATTTTTTCCTAAATAATTATTGAAATTTTCGGGTATCCCTTCTACAAAAGTGACATCTGGAATTTCATCATATAAATCTTGATATATACCGTAAAACCAAACGACTTTATCAATTTTGGGATAGATTAATTCACTATGATATTTTAAAAAATTCTTTAAAAAGTAACTCTTCCCCGAGGAAGTTGGACCGCAAATCAAAGCTGTGAAAGAGGCCTTTAATCTCAGTGACTCCATCACGATAAATGAAAGAACATAGCAGACGTTAAGCTTATTTATACATCAAACTCTTTATTATGAAATATAAAATGGTACATATTCATTATAAAGCTTTTTTTTAACAAAGTTATACACACGTTTATCATTTTGCATAGAATTTAATTGTAGTGAATCAATAATAAATTTCATTGAACGATTTCTACATCGAAAATACAAATAATAGATACAATACTGTCCACATACAGCAGTCGAATCACTTTGAAGAGAGACGTCATTGTAAGTGACGTGCGAGTAATTCTTAAAATAATTACTAATGTAACGATTGAAAAAGTTAGGTGAGTGTCCGTAGGAATCGAAAAATTCTGCTGAGTTAGGTGAGTTCACATAAAATGCCATCCAGTGAGTTCCAGATTTGTAGTGTGGGTCAGTATTAACCACAAATGCAGATGGAAATCTTGTAATTCGTTTAGGAATTCTATCACTCGGATAAACGCCAATAAAAATTCTGTGGGTGGACACATCTTTTTTCAATACTTTCTCTATTTGTAGAACATTCATACTGAGAAATCACATATAACAGAACGACTCTTCGTCACCTCGATAATAGAATTAAACTCGCTATAAACAAATAACGATATAGTTTTAGGAAGAGGTTTTGAAAACTTCAGTTCAATTCTTAAATTTCCCTGACGAATTAAGTTAAGATAACTCCCGTCACATAAGTCTGGAGAGAGATCAAAGGAATACAATGTATATCCTTTTGAAAATTCGTCTCTATTTATGTAAATTCCTTTATTGCTACTTAATCTCTCACTTCCTAAGAGTAAACTGTTGTAAGAACGAATGTACTGATCATCTTCGTAATTCGGAGTTAAAGGTTTGTGACACACAGGATTTCCGTCAACGTAAACACCTATGAAATTCACATCATTGTGTTTAAAATTAAAAGGGTTAGTAGTATAAGTGCCGTTGAATGCGTCGTTATCCACACAGGCTAAAACCAATCTTTTCGGAAGCTGTCCTAGGAAAACGTTGTCTTGAGAAAAGGAAAATGAGCCAGCAGGAATAGAGTACATTTTACATAGTACTCTGTCTATAGGATATTTAGCTGTTGTTTTTTCTAAGGCTTTTGCATGACCTAATAACACACCTGGACTAACTTTAACTTTACGCACAAACAAAGATGCATGCTCGATAGCTATTTGATACTTTGCATTTTCGGGAGATATGAGACAAAACTCCGGTTTATTTCTAATGAGCTTCAGTTTTAGATCAATCATGTTTAATAACAGTCTGTCTTGATAGAAAAGATCGCAATGTAAGTTTCCGATCATTTCTAATACCTTTCCCTTAGCAATCATTGAGGAACGCTTTTTCAATCCTTCGTTTTCTTTTGATGGGTCGGTCTCGTCGAGATGACCAGCGGTATCTTTGTAAAAGCATTCAGAGGTTAAAAAACTTTTCTTATAGTCTGAACCATAATTTAATAAAGTTTCGATGTAAGATCTATATGCATAAGTATTACTCGAAGAAGTGATAGTACGATCATTCAACATTACATCCACTTGAGAAAAAAGAGAATGGAAAAATAAATTGCACGGAGAAATTTTCTCATTTTCAGGTAGAGGTTTATTATCTTTTAAAACTTTTACTTTAACATACAGTTGCGTAGCACTTAAATCCAAATACTCCTCTGAAGTCCCCGATATATTAAATTCGATTGGGAGGCCATCATGAATGTTCGATATGGGGTGATACTCTGACCACTGTCCTTTTTCTATAGCAGTTTGTGTTGGAGGCATGAGAAATAAATCAAGTTCCGATTTAACAGAAGGGAAAGAATCATTTCTTATTAAAGCCATGCTAGCTGAAAATATCTGGTGTGCACACTTTGCGATACTTCTTACTACTAGTAGATTTTCGGTTTTTGCGTTTCCTTTTATGCCCTCCAACCATGGTTTTCACTTTATCCGCTGCTTTATTTGTGAGTATTTTAGTCGCCTCCTTTATACGTTGTTTTGAAGCATCCCTTATATCTTTTCCTTGCATATAATCGTTAGCTATGTCAACTCCCGATTTGAGAGCTTGTTTTCCTACGGCCTTTGCTCCTGATTTGAATAAAGGTAAAACCATTCGAAACATACTTTTAAAAATTCCACCTAAACCGCTTCCTTTTTGAAGTGATACTTCTTTATAATAAGATAATCCATTCCCTGCTTGATTTGAGTAATAATCTTCGAAAGATTTTGTACAACAATGGTAGTTTTGATACATTTTGAGAAAAATTTGTTCTATAATGTTTTCAACCGAAAGTGAAGTTTCACTATCAACTTCCCCCTTTCGAATGACACGTAACGTCCTGCGTGAGTTCTTATAACTATTTCGATTGACTCAATATTTTTTCTAGACAAAGGTAAATAGTGCGGTCTTTCAAACTGAGCATGAATCATTTCTCCATCTTTCCCACTCACGGTTAAAATTCGTAAAAGGGGGGCTACTACATCCCCAACCATTTCAGGTTGTATAATATCGGCATAGATATATAACAAGTGTAAATCGACATTAGGATCTGCTACAAAAGGACTCTCAATAGATAGTGTACCTGGAGGTATGACGTTTTCGCCTAACGTTTCATCATGAGGAAAACCTAAACTTTCCGCTAATCCTTTCGATAAACGAAGTGTGGCACCGTTTGTCAGCTGAAGTTTTACTTTTTTCGAGAATTTATTATATCCTAATTTAATTCTTATATTTTTTTCAAACTGATCGATAATTTCATTTACTGAGTCGTAAAAACCACTCGGAATCGAGTTTTTCTTTTTTACACCGTTACCTAAATTATACTCATACGAATTTCCATCTTCCGTTATGTTATTCCACATTCTCGGATAAATTATTTCTACTAAGCCTACTTCCCATTCTCCCAAAAGTTCGAGACGTTTTGGGAGTTTCGTAGAAAAATGGGACATGGTATTGTCGGGAAAAATATGCATGGAAGCATCACTTGGTAGTGTTATGTAGAAACTCATTGTGACAAATTATGAGATTGTAGAATGTGAAATTACTTTTATAAGACGAATAAATCATTAGAGGGAAGCCAAGCATTAAATTTACTAGGATAACCTTTGAATTTAACTAAGTATTCCAACTTATTCTCATGAAATCGTTTTTTTAAGATTTTTTCGACTGGAAACGTTTCAGGGAGAATAACTCTTTGCAATTCTTGGGTATAAAATGTTCCTTTAATTTCTTCACCCATCAAATCTTTAATTTTGTATACTGGGGGGATTCTAGAAATACAATGGTTGATGATGAATATTTCTTCAGACCAATTGTTTTCATAACCTTTCTCGAAAACCATTTTCGACTTTGATATGCGTACAGCTTCCCCAATTTTAAATGTACACTTATAACGTTTCTGATTAGGCAAGTTTTGATATAAATTATTGAAAACTTGTTTTTCGTTTTCTTTTGTAACTTTAGCAGGCTCCATTTTAATGCTAGTGTGATAGGTGTTATTATAACTCTTCATTATATCTTCTAAAACATCAATGTACCTAAAAGTGTTTTTAGCAGTGAAATACTTCCATAGCTTTGTTTTCAAAGTACGATTAAACCTCTCAACAATAGAACTTTTAGTGTGATTGAATGTGAAGAAAAAGTGAACTCCAGCTTTTTTTAAATAGGATTGAAAATTCTTATTAAGAAATTCTTTCCCTTGATCTGTTTGTAATTTTATAGGTTTTCTCTCTTTGAATATTTCTTTAAAGGAAGATATAATGCTAGAGCTGTCCTTTCGTTTCAGTGGGAAAGCCCATGCGTATTTTGAAAAGACGTCGATGCACGTTAAGATATATCGATAGTCATCGTTGAAATTTACAATCCCCTTTAAATCCGCTATGTCCGCCTGAAATTGAATACTCATTCCACTCACCATGACTCTATTTCGTGAAAAATTATTTCTCACACCCTTATGGAGAGTATACGAATTTTGGGTAGATAACCAATTTCTTATCTCTTTACGAGAAACTCTTCCCTTCATCGATCGGTACAAAGCTTCCACCCCACCGAAACTTCCAGGTTGTGCGGGATCATTATGTAAATCGTCCAATTGCATTCTAACACAGCTGAAAAATAAATATGTCACCTTCTGAAAGAGTATATCAAAAATGACAGTAACTTAAAAATGAAAGTAATTTATAAATGAAAACAAAAAATAAATGGAAAAAAAAAATTTATTCAAATTGAAAATTGTCATTAAGAATATACACTTGTTACATACAGAAATAAACAATATGTACATAACTATAAATACATAAAATTTTAAAGAAAATATATTTAAGGTGAGTATACGAACACTATATGTTTAAACAGCGAAATCACTAACATAGAATTATAACTCTACATAAAATTCGAAAGATCAGGATCTGAAGTAATATAAAGTTCTTTTGCATTCCTTATCAAATTTGAAACATTTAATTTCGAAAAAAAATTCTTATTTATGTAGTTAGTAATCAGTGCATTCGTTTCAAGAAAATCATGAGCTAATTGTACTAAGTCAAAGTGTGAGAATATTAAATCACCACATCTTAACAGTTTCAGTTCATGACTTAGCGTCATGCATTCATGACCCAGTTGGTTTTCATAGTTTTCTTCACATCCGAAACAGTTGAAAATAACTTTTATACTCGATGCAATATTCACTCTCACAAGTTCTAGCAAGGAAGTTGTCAGCATTATATCGACATCTGAAGATTCTATTACCGGAAGAGGTGATGGAGGGGGACGTTTCTTTACTTCTTCAAGCACAATGTGAGGGAAGTTATGTTGAAAAAGCAAAGTTGCAATGCTAGCTGAAACTTTTTCTTGAAAGAGCTTGTCAGTTGCGAGTGTGGAAAACTCAGTATCGGAGAGTGTACACATTGACTTTGTAAACTCACGTGTGAAATTTTTTCGAAGGAAATATTTTTGAAAAGTGACATGAGGTCCGATATCCAGATCAGCTTTTGCGATTAGTAGACTGTCTTCAAGAATGAGCACAGGAGCCTCCATCGCTGATTCATTTTCGAATTTCTTTACGAAAGAAAGCCACAAAGAAGGAGTAAGAGTAATTCCCTTTTTGGTTGGGATTAGAGCATTGTTTTCTCCAGTGAGATATTCCCTCAAATGGATCAACACCCGATTAACGTAGAAGGTGACAGCAACATAGTTCACTCCTCCAAGATGGTAGTGATGGTCAGGCAAAATTTTAACACTTTCATCAGAGGTAGATGGTGAAAGGTTACTAGAGGTATCCTCCATCATATCGAAAGAACGTTTCATGGTTAAGAGTGAGAAAATTTCGTGTAACGCTGCTAGGGAAGTTTTCAAAAGTAGAAATGGTAAGCAAACTGCAGAGCTTTTGAAGCTTTCAACAACCAATCAGAAGAGTTTTGGTGCTCAGTAAAATAAAAAATAAAAATAATAAAAAAAACGAGACGCACTTATCGTCAATTCAATTTCTAAAGTAATGTCAAGAGTTTACTTAACATTCCTCGGTTAATGGTGGAGACGCCAGTATTTTATCAATGTTTTTTTCCTAAAATTTTCTTAATCAAATGAATGTTAGCGAAAAAATGTTAATGGATAATGATTACACTATATCATCAATAACGTAAAAGCACCACCATCAAGTTATGCATACATCATCTTATTTAGCTAAACACGTAGAGTAGACTCCTCAAATGATAATTACATATTTGATGTAATAACTAATTACATATAGAATATATAAAACTTTTTCATCGCTTTTGAATTATTTGACATATCATATTAAATTAACAAAACAGTAATGTCTAAGGAATGGTTCATTTAGAAATTAAATCTACGAAGTTATAAAGCATTAATGTGTAAATAATAATAACAATAACATTATAATAATAACATTAATTTAAATATTGAAAACTTTATAAAATACACTTGGGTACGAAAAATTTC